CTCCACCGACTTACCAGCTGGGTGCTGTCTGTGTCTGTGTGCCTGCCCCTCACTTCCAAACCATAGCCCCCTCCAGCCCTGCTGCTGCTCCTTGCTTCTGATCCACAGTACTCTGTATCCTGCTAGGGCATGTGGGACACCCCACGGGCTCCAAACCCCAGACACACACCCACAGCATCCCACACCTTCATAGATTCCCCCCCCACATACGTATCCCACACCTATGCCCCAAACTTGCAAAGTACCTGCATAATTTTTTATAATTTTAAGTTTTTCTGTGTATAATTTTGAGTTTTAATTGTGTGATTGAAATCACAGTTAATTTTGACTAATTCTGTTAATTGCACAACTAATCGTGATCACATTTTTTAATTGTTTGACAGCCCTAGTTAAAACGCATCCTATCCTATCAGGCATTGCAGAGGGTTGTATCATGTACAGAATTGGCACTTTGCATTGCAATAGAGAATATAGGGATTTAACTAATGGATCAGAGGTGTTGGTCCATCCAGTATAGTATCTTTTGCCCAGCACTGAAGATTAATGAGGAAATGGCAAGAATCTAGATAGCGGACAACCATGGAATAACTTGCCTGTAGAGGAGGCTTAATCCATTATTTCAAGTTCTGGTTGATGTATGACTTGATACATAAAGACTTTTAATTTTTCCTTATATTTTACGCCTTATTCTCCGTGTAAACTACTAATAATTCTTCTAAATTTCCCCAAGCTCTTGACCACAAAATCTAGTAGCAGCAAGTTGTACCATCTGGTAAACTTTTCCTTTTTTCATTTTATGTGGTGTATTCGGGGTGTGGAGATGTTAGTGTATCTAGTGCAGCATTCAGGGTTGGATATGTTGGCACAGTGCACCAGGGAGTCATCTGCCATTCAGAGTGGAATGGGATGTGCATCCCTGGGGGTGGTGAGGGGTGGTCCCTGGCTGCTCCTAAGTTGGACAGCCTTGCTTTAACACGTTGTGTCCTGCTACTGCAGGTTGATAGGTTTTACACTTTTTACATGATAATATTTTAATTCAGTAGCCTAAGTCATAGACTTAGCAGCAGTAATAGTTTGCATTGCGCATGCAGTCCAATTAAACAGGTGCTGAGATTAGAGGAAGCGTAAGATGGATCATAAAATAGAACACTTGTACAGAAATTTAAGAGCGCGCGCGTGTGTGTGTAATATGACAACCTGCTAGCATGAATGATTATTTTAGAGTAAGTAGTGGTACAGCTTCCAAAACTGAGGAATTAATCTTTGCAGATTACTCCTTTACTGTATATTGTTTCTGTCTTCTACTGCTATTGAAATTTTTAGGAATGCTCAGAGGAGGTATTGTGTTAATGATTGGGGAAAGCATGAATAGAGATCAGTTCATTCTTATTTGCTCATGAGAAGCCTGGGGAAGTGTGAGAATGATGTACAAGGTGTTTGTAAAAGCACGTTTGGTTTACATACCTTCCAGCACCTGCTTCTTTTGTTCTTCCTCCCCTCCATTGTTTTTCTTCCCCTCACCCATTACCATAATCTGAATTGTATTGCCCCTGCAGTTCTCTATTTCCCTTCCTGCTTTCCTCCACACCAAATTACCTTTGTTTTATGAGAATTGTTCAATAAGGAGTAATGCCAGGCAACAGCGTGAACTTGTTACTGGCTATATATATATAAATAGCTGGTCATCAAATTAAAATACTTCTGTTTTTCATATATAGTAGAACAGGCTCTGCTGCAGAATACTCTTTGGGACGTCTAAAGAGGATATCTTTGCTTACCTACAGGGAGAAAATTCTGGAAATTACCAAAATAACATTGCTCCTCAGAAAAGAAAGTTGCAATTTTAGCTATTTTCTTTGTTTAAAAAGAAAAAATAAACAAACTTAATGTTCTGAAAATTAGAGGTTAACATTTATTATGCAATAATCACAATGAACAAAAGAGGGGGCTTTATTAAAGGCAATGCTGACAAATGCTCACTGAAGCTGCTGCTGTGCAAATAAAGTGTAGTGTCCCATACTGTATTCAGATATTTGTAAATGTTATTCTTGCTCTACTTGCATTGATTTCTTTAAAAAAAAAGAAAAAAAGAGTGGCAACATTATCAAATAGTTCAGGTTTTGTGTAATAGCATCTTTTTGTTAAGAGTTCTCTTGGTCATTGTGTAGCTTTACAGCTTGGTAGCTTTACTGAGCTGTACCAAGTTTTATAACTTTATGAAGCATTATACGGCTTGGTCAGTACAGCTTTACCATATCTTCAAAGCATGTTTTTTTAATAATGCGTGAAAGCATAAAAAAAAGAATAAAGTTTAATGGATTCTGTGAATGTCAAGGGCTTGTTTAAATGGGTTGTAGAAATACAGTGTTGGAAAATATTTTATATTAATTCCTTGTACCCAGACTTCAGTAGCGTGCTTATTTTTTACACATGTGCTTTGAACCTATATTTTAGTGAATTTTTGGTTTTAGTTTCGTGCACTTGTATCAACCTTCAGATTTAATGTGTTTAAACTAAACTTCTCATGATTATTTTTAGTCTGATCTGAAATGTGTCCAAGATGCCAAGGGAGGCTCTTTCTACAGGGACCACTGCCCTGTGTTAGGTGAGTTAAAGGAAATATGTCGTGTTGGTAGCAACAAGAAATGTCGACATCAAAAGATGAGCTCCTAATCAGAGTTCTTAAAAGAATGGTCGAAACAGTTATGATTTAAATGACAGCACTTCTGTGCATTGTCATGCTCAAATGTTACAATAATTTGTAATGCAGTAGACAATAAATGTACCAAACTAGGTCAGATGTATAACAGGCAAATTAAGACTTTTGGCTATATAGTGAGGGTATGCATGGATTAAACTTCTATACTGTTGTGGTCAGTGCTATGCTAGCATAAAAGTAGTGGACAGATGATGCACATGCCTTAACCAGATAATTTCACTAAATCTGATGAAGAATTGTTGCAAAATAATTTAAGGTAAAACTGCCAATGTGAGTTACTGTGATTTGGGGGCGGGGAGGGGGGTTGCCTGCTTCTATCCTGCAGTAACCATTTGCTGAGCACAGACATGCTAATTTCTGCTCCTTTGTTTTACATATTGGTCGGGTGCTGAAATAGTTCCTATTACCCCATTTCTGATCCCACTGTAATTCAACTTCTTCAGTAATCTGGTGTCATTTTTAGAGTGCTGGTTTCTAAAATGTAGTGCCCCCCTTTTTTCAGTATAGGCTACATACTTTTTAAAATACATCATGTCTGTTTTTTAACCTTAAACTTTTATAGTAAATGGGAATGGCTGTCTTTTGCTTGATCATCGTGATCATATGCTTCTATAAATTCATTCAGCTATGCAGTAGCTTTAACAAGGTCTTTGAGACTTTGGTTGTCCATTAAAGGTGTAAGGTTTCAGAACACTTGTTTTCTGCATGTAATTGCTCTTGGGTATCAGTTTTGCTAGAAGTTAATTGCAGTTTTAGACATGGTTTGAATGTTTAGCCTGACCTCATGTAGACTGTTCTGTTTTGTGTTTCAATTTCAGGTGAGCAAAATGGTAACCGGAATCCTGGTGGGTTGCAGATTGGCGATCTAGTTAACATTGACCTTGATTTAGAAATTGTACAGTCTTTGCAACATGGTCATGGGGGATGGACCGATGGCATGTTTGAGACCTTAACCACCACTGGCACAGTTTGTGGCATTGATGAGGATCATGACATTGTAGTACAGTATCCAAGTGGCAACAGGTTTGTTACATGTTCTCAACACTTTACCCTGACAAACTTTCTTTGACTTCATCACTTGCAGGGATTTAGTGTGTGGAAACTTCTTTAATCTCCTTTTTGATTCTTGTTGCATCCCACCATCTAATTAATTGTTTATCATCGTCCTGAATTACATAATAAGGGCTTTATCTACCACAAAACAAAATTAAAACTTTTCTATTTTGTAAGAGATACTTTGCTAGAGGAAGGATTAGTTGCTACTGCTTGACTTCATTATTTTGTGTTTATGATCAAGTGGCAGATTTGTCTGTCATCGTCATAAAATGTGGCTTTTTGGGTCTTTTTCTCAGATAACTAACATTAGTAACTGTCTCTGGTAGTTTCCAGGACTTTCACAAATTGTGGGTATTTTCCACAGGCACATACTTTAAGCATGAAACGTGACTGCAGTTAACTCTCAATTTATTTGTCAGCTTCTTTTGGCTATGATACGTTCTGTTTTCATGGAGGTGAAAGAATAGCTTAAAAAAAAGAATTACCATACAGTAGAACTGAAAATGTTATCTGTATGTCCTGTTTGGAGGCAGGAAATCCCTTGATTCATGTATAAAATTTCCAAATATGTCTGAAAAATAAGTTTGAGAACAAATTATGGTTCCAGATAATTTCAGTTTGTGAAGACAACTATACTATACATGCACATGTTTTGTTTGGAAAAAAAATAAAATACAGGTAGACCGTGCAATAAGTATATTCCAAGATGCAGTTTCCACATGCTTAAATGTACTGTTTCATAGTTAGTAGGGTCGGAAGGGACCTGAGCAGATCATGGAGTCCG